AATAGAATAGAATAGAATAGAATAGAATAGAATAGAATAGAATAGAACAGAACGGAATAGAACAGAACGGAATAGAATTAGAACGGAATAGAATTAGAACGGAATAGAATAGAATAGAATAGAATAGAATAGAATAGAATAGAATAGAATAGAATAGAATAGAATAGAATAAGAACAGAACAGAACTAGCAATTTTAAAATTTCTACTGGGGTATCATTAGGTCCTGTGGCTTTTCTTGTTTTCGCTATTTTTATTACATGTTCACCTCCTTCATAGTGATGTTTGGTCCAGTTGTTATACTTCTCATATCAATATCATCTCTAGTGTCCTCAACAGTTCTTCGATATTAGGCTGGAAGCAACACCAGAATATTTCCTTCTTGCCTTCCTTACAGGATTAGCCCTGTAAAGTGGGGGAAAAAAAAGGAGTTTTTTTCCCCAACAACCAGAGAGATGCCTATAAGAGCACAGAGGTTCCTTTTGCACAAGCTCAATAAAGCTCTTTCTTATTGTTCAATTATCTCTTGGTAATTTCACATCTAAAGGATTGGCCCCCCTAAAGTGTTCATTTCACACACCTTGACGTGGAAATAAACTTTTTGCGGGGTTGCTGTTTCTTTGCAAACTTTTCCTGGGGGGCGGGGTCCACGTTGAGCCAGAGATGAGGAAAGCCCACTTCCCCTGAGGCCTCTTTTTCTGGCTTTCTCGTAGTGCCCAGTCGCCATCACAGTGCAGTGGTCCATTGGTCTCGCTGGAGAGCCATGGTCATTCTTCTGGTGGCCACTCTAGGCATGTCCGCCTGTGCAGATCTGGCCACCGAGCACATCAGCCCCATTCTGAACAACTCGCCGGTCTCTCAGGTAAGGAGGGAGAGGAAGGAGGGCCTGGGCAAAGTCCCTGAGATGCTCCTTGAGAAGGTGCCCCCCACGGGTGGGAGATCGGCGGAACGATGACCGGCGGGCGGGAAATTCTCATCGTTTCCAGGTCAACGGATGATCTGTGGGGTCCTTGGTGCTCTCTGAGCTGGGTGGTTTTCTTGCAGACGTTTCAGGACCTGACTAGGTAACATCATCCATGCTAGAAGGGAGTGGGGTTTGTGGAAGGAAGGAAGGAAGGAAGGAAGGAAGGAAGGAAGGAAGGAAGGAAGGAAGGAAGGAAGGAAGGAAGGAAAAACGGAGAGAGGAAGGGAGGGGAGGGAGGAGAAAGGAAGGAAGGAAGGAAGGGGAGAGAGGAAGGAAGGAGAGGGAGGGAGGAGAAAGAGGAAGGAAGGAAGGAAGGAGAGAGAGGAAGGAAGGAGGGGGGAGGAGAAAGGAAGGAAGGAAGGAAAAAGGGGGAGAGAGGAAGGAAGGGAGGGAGGGAGGGCTGTGGGGTCCATGATGCCCTCTGAGCTGGGTGGTTTCCTTGCAGACGTTTCATGACCCAACTAGGCAACATGATCAGTGCTAGTAGAGAGTGGGGTTTGCAGAGAGGAAGAGTACGACGAAGATGATGACCACGACTGTGGACCTTTTTTGTGTTCTCTGAGGTTAGCTGTTTGCTGGTAGACATTTCATGACCCAGCGAGGTAACATCATCAGCGCTAAAGCATTGATTGTTGAAACATCTTCAAGAAAACCCACCAAGCTTAGCACCCAGGACATCACAATCCTCCTCCACAAACCCCAATCCCTCCTCGCACCAATGATATTACCTAGTTGGGTCACGAAACGTCTGCAAGAAACCCGTCAAGCTCCGAGTACACCAAGGAGAGAGACCCCCACAGTTCAACCCTGAGCGACAAATATTCTCTTCCATCAGTAACTTATGATTGTTAGCTGTCTGCCAGATTGTGGCTTGAAGTCTGCTGAAAACCCACCGCCTCGTCCAAGCCCTTTGTTGAATGCTGGTGATAGATCCCCTGGTGTCGAGGCGGATCTAACCGTGAGTTCTCGCCTCGTCTTCCAGTATTTCATTGGCGTGACTGTGCTGGCCATGGTGCCCGAGATTCCGGAGTTGATCAACGGGATCCAATTTGCTTTGCAGAACAATCTCAGTTTGAGGTAGGTAATGTCCTTCTGCTGAGTTTTGTTGATCTGATAAGAACCGGTTGTGAAGTCTCCCTTTGAAGGCCGTCCTTGGTTTTTGAACATTGGGATAGATCACGTGATGACCAGGGGTGGGATTCGATTTTATTTTTTAAAAAAACTGGTTCTGTGGGCGTGGCTTAGTTGGTGGGCATGGCTTGCTGGTCATACGACTGGGTGGGCGTGGCCAACTTGACATCACTCACGTCAAGGGGCGTTTTTTTCCTCGCCTGGCCTCTCAGGACAGTGGGGATGCTGCAATGGTCATAAGTGTGAAAAAGGGTCATAAATCACTTTTTTTCAGTGCCATTGTAACTTTGAATGGTCACCAGTTTTAGACCAAAACTCAAAAAGGGTATGTAAAGTCACGTTTGAATGTCAATCTTTCTAGCTAGCCAAGAAGCCTTGCTGAATGTCACCCATCTTGGTTTTTTTGTCATTAAAAGCTTCTTTCTGGCAGTTCTGCTTCATTATTTGATTATTTCTTCAAAGTGCTAACACCAACAGGGGAGTATTTCCCCCGCAACAGCACTGTAAAAAACTTAAAACAACCCTTCCCCTTTAAGAAAATACCACCAAAAGAAAAAAAACTCTCCTTCCGAGACAGTAAGTCTAGGCGTACTGCCAAGAATATAAGAAGGGTGGAAAAAAATAAAAGGAGATTTCCTCTAACAACTGGTTCTCCGAACTGCTTAGAAAGTGAACAACAGGTTCTAGCGAATAGGTGAGAACCTGTAGAATCCCACCCCTGGTGATGACCCAAAGGAGCGTGACACAAAAATAACAAAGTCACTAAAGTAGAATAAATTCCATTTAATGCCTCCAACTTGGCCCCCAATGTCCAATTATCCTCAGCTGAAGATCAGACTCTTCCAAAAAGAGTCTACGAAGGGAGTAAATGCAGTCTGAACCCAAAGTAAAGATAATTAGAAATTTAAAAAAAACAACAACACAAACCACACTGAATTAAATAACACAACGGGCCAGGATGATAAATTGCAGACTTTCAAAGGATAACGCAGCAACCACAGTTGGGAGGATGCCAAAACCCAGATAAACCTCCACAAAAATAAAGCATGCTTTGCTTCCAGCAAGGAGCTGTGTGCAAACCACCCCACTTATATCCTGTTTTCCCAGCTGCAGCTAATGAAGAGAATCAGGGCCTTTTCCTCCCCCATAATCCACGTTGCTCCCTTCTCTGTTCCTCCCTGCGTGCCCTAGGATGAAGAGGGGGTGGGCCTGGGTCTTCCTCTGAATGCTCAGCCGGACTGTGCCCTTCCCCCGTTTCCTCCACACACAGTCAGATCAGGAGGGGGGTCCTTACTCTTCGCCTGAGTTCTGTCTCTCATGCTTATCTTGACCCTGTTGCTCCCTGTCTACAAGCCGTCCCAATCCTGACGGACTGACTCTGCCCTTCCCCAGTTTCCTCCAAAGTCAATGGAGCCGCCCCCTCGATCTCTATTGGCTCTTGTTCCAGCTTATCTTCCCATCCCCACTCGCAGATTCAGACTCGGACGGGGGTGTGACATTTCCTTTTATGGGGAAAATAGGTCTGATGCTACCCATAGATATCAATGCCTGCCCCCATCAAAATGCCCAGTGTAGAAATGGTTGGGAACTGGAAATGTACAAATCCAGCTGGAGGATGTCCCTGCCCGAGCAGGGTCTCCGGTAGCAGGGGATTATGGGAAGCATATCCGCAGTTTCTGAACTGCACCTCACACATGTCCTCTTCTGTGTCCTCCTTTTGAAGCATTGAGATCGGGAACTGCATCGCTGTTCAAGTCTGCATGTTGCAAATACCCATCCTGGTGCTCTTCACCGTATTTTACGTGAGTAACTGAGGGAGAAGCTGCATGTCAGGGTTCCCACTAACCTACTGCACACCATCCGGCTACGAATGGAGCCGCAGAGTGCTCCAATGCAATGGTGGAACAATATCTCAGCTCCTCTGAGGTCTTTCCTCTCTCCAGATCCTGGAAAGGCAGACCAACCTTCTGATTCTCAGTCTGGGTCTCTCCTCGTGTCTCCCTGGAATAGGGATTATCTGGTCTGGATGCCCAGAAGGGAGGGCTGCATTCCAGGGGAGCAAGAGACAACAAACATCAGATAGTTTGTGTGTGAGAAAGAGGGTGAAGACAGTTCCTCCTCAACAGATCCCAGAGTATATGTTTGATGGGGTGTTAGCATGCTTTTAGTCTGGCAGTGTCTTTCTGAGTTTTTACAACCTTGATCCTCCCTCCCTTCCCCTTTTCCTTCATTTCTCTCTCCTTTCTTCCCTCTCTTCTCCCTCCCTCCCTCCCTTTCTTCCTTCATTTTTCTTCCTTCCTCCCTGCTCTCTCCTTCCCTTTCTTCTTCCTTCCCTTTCCCTTCCTTCCTCACGCTCTTCTTCCTTCCTTCCTTCCTATTCCTTCCTTCCTTGCTCTTTCCCTCCTTCATTCCTCATTCTTCTTCCCTTTCTCCTTCCTTCCTTTCCTTTCCTTCCTTCCTTGCTCTTTCCCTCTTTTTCCTTCCTTTCCTTTCCTCCCTTTCTCTCCCTCCTCCTTCCTTCCCTCCTCACTCTCTCCTTCTCTTTCTCCTTCCTTTCCTTTCCTCCCTCCCTTTCCTCCTCTCTCTCCTTCCTTCCTTCCTTCCCTCCCTCCCTCCCTCTCTTGTTCTCCAGATTCCAAGAGGGAGGGACTGCATCCCAGAGGAGCAACTCAGATCAGATAGCTTGTGTGTGAGAAAGAAGGGGAAGACAGCGCCTCCTCAGTAGTTCCTAGAGTAAATGCTTCATAGGAATGTTAGCATGCTTTCGCTTGGCAAGATTCTTGTCTACAGGCGGGGAACAACAAAGAAATTGCTTGGAAAAAGAATCACAAGATGTCTTTCTTGGTTTGGAGAGCCTGACATCCATCTTGCCAAGCTAAAGCATAATTTATACCTGCCTTGTCCGAGGATGGAGTCTCTTTCTTGTGTGTTCTTTTGTCCTTTTCCCCCCCCTCTCTTTCCTTTACCAGTAGTCCTCAACTTATGACCATAACTAAGTCCTGGCAGTCACAAAGCAGGTCGTAAGGTGACCTCCTTCTACAATCACAACCTGGTTTTCCCCAACACAGCTGGTCAGTGGATGGAGCTAAAGAATGGCCTGCTGAAGGGAGCCGGAAGCCACAGCAGACTTTTGTTGGAAGACAGCCAAGAAGATGGCAAATGATGATCACATGATGGCTATTGGCTTGGCAACCCGTCATTGTAAACCCAAACGGGTAGCCAGGATTGTCCAGGTTGCGATCACATGACAGGGGGAGGTGCAGGAGGCACTGCAATGGTGATAAGTTTAGGCGGGGTGTGTGTGTCATATGTCTCTTCGTTCAGCATCGCTATAATTTTGAATGGACTTTGAATGAGTGGTCATAAGTCACAGATTACCCTTTCTTTCCTTTCTTTCTCTCTCTTTCCTCTTTCTTTCTTTCTTTACTTTCTTTCTCTTTTCTTCTCTTTTCTTTCTCTTTTCTTTCTTTCTCTCTGTCTCTTCTTTTTCTCTTTCTTTTTCTTTCTTACTTTCTTTCCTCTCTTTTTCTCTTTCTTTCCTTTCTTACTTTCTTTTCTTTCGTTCTTTTCTTTCTCTTTCTTCCTTTTTTTTCTTTCTCTCTTTTCTTTCTTTCTCTCTGTCTCTTTCTTCTTTCTCTTTCTTTTTCTTTCTTTCCTTTCTTTCTTTCTCTCTTCTTTCTCTCTTTACTTACTTTCTCACTTTTCTTTCTTTCTTTCCTTTCTTTTCTTTCTTTTTTCTTCTTTCTCTTTTCCTTTACTTTCTTACTTTCTCTCTCGCTTTTCTTTATTTTCTTTCTCTCTTTCTTTTTCTTTCTCTCTTTCTTTTTCTTTCTCTCTTTCTTTTCTTTCTTTCCTCTCTCTTTCTTTTCTTCCTTCCTTCCTTCCTTCTCTCTTTCCTTCCTTCCTTCCTTCCTTCCTTCCTTCCTTCCTTCCTTCCTTTCTTTCTTTCTTTCTTTCTTTTATTTCTTAGTTTGTCTTATTAAAGTTTGGCAACTTTAATTTAAAAAAATACTGTAAAAGCAAAAGAGGCTGTTGGTACTTCAGCCCTCGGTCCTTGGGGCTGCTTGGAGATTGACCCGTTCCTTTCCTTCGGAGCAGCCCACCGACTTCATCCTGGTCTTCAGCGACCTCCACGTCTACGCCAGCATGTTCAGTGTGGTGCTCATGAATTACATCTTCATGGATGGCAAGTGTGATTACTTCCAAGGTGAGAACTTTTGACGGACATTGATTGCAAGAGAACATAATGTCGGTAGCTCGGGGTTGAGCTGTGAGGTCCCTGGTGCTCTTTGAGCCTGATAGGTTTTTGGTTTTCTTCCAGATGTTTCATGACCCAACTAGGAAACATCATCAGAGCTAGGAGGGAGGTGGGTTTACAGAAAGGAGGAGGAGGAACAGAAGAAGGAGAAGGAGGAGGGGAAAGGGGAGGAGACAAAGAAGAGGAGGAGGAGGAGGAGAAAAAGGGGGAGGAGAAAGAGGATTCTAGGTTCTTCCGAGGTCAGTCAAATGAGGACCTAGATTGTTGGGGGAAAGAGGCTGACTCTGTAAACCGCTTAGAGAGCACTGGAAAGATCTGTGAAGTGGCATATAAGTCTGAGGGCTTTTGCTAAGAAGGAAGGAAGGAAGGAAAGGAAGGAAAGGAAGGAAAGGAAGGAAAAAAGGAAGGAAGGAAGGAAGGAAGAGGAGAGAAATAGATAAGAGGAAGGAAGGAAAAGAAAAGGACAAGAGGAAGGAAGGAAGAGAAAGGCAAAGGAAGGAAGGAAGGAAGAAAAGGGGAGGAAGGAAGGAAGGAAGGAAGGACGGAAGGACGGAAGGAAGGAAGGGCAGTGGTGACCCAGTGGTTAGTGGTTCTGTCCTTCCGAGGTGGGTGAAAAAAAGGACCCCGAGTGTTGAGAGGGCTGCAAAAGCCCTGTGAAGCAATGTATATAAGTCTAAGGGCTATTGGTAAGTGTTGAGGGAGGAAGAGGAAAGGAAGGAAGGAAGGAAGGAAGGAAGGAAGGAAGGAAGGAAGGAAGGAAGGAAGGAAGGAAGGAAGGAAGGAAGGAAGGACGGGCTCTGGTGGCACAGTGACTAGAATGCAGTATAGCAGGTTAACTCATTGCCCACTGCCAGCAGTTTGATCCTGACTGGCTCAAGCCATCCATCCATCCGAGGTGGGTAAAATGAGGACCCTGATTGTTGGGGGCAAGAGGCTGACTCTGTCAACTGCTTAGAGAGGGCTGTGAAAGCCCTGTGAAGCGGCATATATGTTTAAGGGCTATTGCTAAACATCCTTGGGGAAATTTCGAGCTGAGAATGGCTGCACCAATGTCACCCAATGTCCATGTCTACAGAGGGTCAACTTGTCTCCTTGTTTTCTCTCTCCCACCCAGGTACCGTGCTGGTGATGGTCTATTTTATCCTCATGGCTGTGTATTATTTTGCTCCTTCTCCTGCTGGCTGCTGAGCTGACGGTCCGTTGGGCTTCCCACCTCTCGGTCGCAGTCGCTTCCCGCCAGCGCCTCGAGCCATGACCCGTCTCGTAGAGACGAACTTTTTAAACACCTTGATAAGCGTTTTCTCCAAGGCGGCCCGTCCAGCTCACAAATTTTTTCGGGGGGTCCTTCCCGCTTTCAAAAATCCCACCCAGGTCAGGGTTAGGAGCTGCAGAGGATGACGGCCAACGCTCGGTGACCAACGAAGAGTTTGGGGCGCCGAAAAACAGCAGCGTCGGCTCCCGACGGGCAAGAGCGGCTGGGGATTTTGAAGGCGGATTTGGGGACGGGGGTCCTCATTTCGTCATAGCTACCTCTCAAGGGTTTGCCGTGTGACAGCCCCGCCCAGTGAGGGCAAAGGTGTGTCTTCCCCCCCACCCCACAAGTCGAGCCACCCCTGATCTTGAGACAGAGCACAAAATAAAGGAAGGTGGGTTTTGAACGTATCCTTTGGCGCACGTTGCTGACGGTATTTTTTGTTTCGTACCCGTCGTGGGAGAAGTAAGACTGGGGTCTCCAACCTTGGCTGCTTTACGACAGGTGGACTTCAGCTCCCAGAATTCCTCAGCCAGGAATTCCTCAGGAATTTTGGGAGTTGTAGTCCACCCATGGCTGGCAGAGGAAAGATCCATAATCTATATCGTCTATCATTTGTCTGTCCATCCATCCATCCATCATCTATTTTATCCATCCATCCATCCATGTATAAGGAGCTGTGGTGGCGCAGTAGTTAAAATGCAGTATTACAGGCTAACTCTGCCCACATCCAGGAGTTTGATCCTGACTGGCTCCCAAGTTGACTCATCCTTCCCAGGTGGGTAAAATGAGGACTCAATGAGGGGGTGATAAGCTGACTCTGTAAACCAGTGGTCCCCAACCACCGGGCCCTGGACCGGGCCCGGTCCGTGGATTATTTTGTACCGGGCCGCCTATTTTGCTTGTGCACCGCCATCTTGTTTCGACGGCGCTTGAGAAAGTGCTTCCGGGTGAGCTTGTTGGTCGTCGGTTGGAAAGCGGCGTTTGGGTGCTGAGGGAATCGTCGCGCCTGAGTTTCGTCGAAGGGCGGTGGGGCGGCTTCGAACGAAGAGCCGTCCCCATGGCGGTGGAATCTCGCATTACTCAGGAGGAGATTAAGAAAGAGCCCGAAAAGCCCATCAACCACGAGAAAGTACAAAGGAGGAGTTGAAGGTGGCGGGGAGAAGCGGGGGGACGGCTGGCTGGATCATTTTGTACCGGCCCGCAAAGAATGAATAATCGTAAAACTGGTCCCTGGTACAAAAAAGGTTGGGAACCACTGCTGTAAACCACTTAGAGAGGCCTCTGAAGCGGTATATAAGTCTAAGATCTAGTATTATTTAAAGATTGGAGTGGGAGCTGCAGAAGGTTCCGGCAAACCCTTGAACGACCAACTAAGGAAGTTGAGACAGAGCTCCCACCACAGATCTTCTGTCTTTCTTCACGTCAGAAACACCTTCTCGTTCTAGTCATGTCGCATTCAAGCTGAGCAAGTCAAATTAATATAAAACAGGTCACAGAAATACAACACCTATTTAAAAAATTAGGATTAAAGCTACAAATTAAACGCAACACGTACCTAAGTTAGGATTAAAACTAAAGGACATTCGGGTCAGTACAGGTAGGTTTCGACTTACCACCACAGTTGTACTTAAAATTTCACGCTGAGTTACTAGGTGGATTTCGCCTCATTTTGCAACCGTTCTTGCCAGAGTTGCTAAGTGAATCCCTGGAGTTGTGAATTCCCGTGGTTGGAAAGCAAATTGGACTTCCTCGTTGACTTGTCAAGAAAGTCGTAAATCCGGGATGCTGCATCATAAATAGCCAATTGCCGAGCATCCAAATTTTGATCACGTGATCACAGGTCTATTGTGAGGGTCGCAAGCGTGAAAAGCGTCTTAAGCTGCTTTTTTTTCAGTGCCGTTGTAACTTTGAATGGTCACTAAATGAAGTGTGGTGAGTTCAGGCCTACCTGTAAAATCAGGCGTGACTCACTTAACAATCCTTGTTTACCAGCAAATATTGTGATGCCATTCATGGTTGTAATTCGAGGACAATTCGAGGTGCAAGAAGTCCGAAACCAGGATAGAGCAGAAAAGCATTACAGGTAGTCCTGGACTCGCAATCTTTCTGTCAACTCATAAAATATTTCTAGGGTCTTTTTGGAGTTGCCAACAGAAAGGGAGGGGGGAGTAGTGCGGCAGCTTGCAAACCGAAAGTGTATTCCATAAATGTTTCCAAAGATAGTAACTAGGCGACTGAAGTTTCTGCCGGGTAAAATTCTAACCGGAGAGCCTGATTGATGACTCTGGGCTATGGAGGTATCCCATTGGAGGATAAGAATTACGATACATCCGGGCAGGGGGGAAACCAGGCTCAAGGACGACAATGAATGATGCATCTCGGAGTCGGCTACACCCAAGCAGTGCCGGACATGTTTACTCCCAATAAATCATATTTTTAAGTTTTGGAAGTTCAGCTCAAGACAAGATTGAAATGGGAGTCACTGCCAGAATCCTGACAGGAAGTGTGTCCTTCCCAATCCACGTATCAACCCATTTTGGGAATTTGGCCATTGCATCAGGGGCGGGATTCCAAAATCCCAGCGACCGGTTCGCTACCCGGTTGCTGGATGAACGTGGCCATGGTGGACTTGGCCTACCGGAACTTCGGAAACAAGCCTGTTTCTGGCTTCCAGTGGGCCTTCAGAGCCCGCGGCGCGGAAGGCCATTTTCAACTTCCCAGAGGCCCGGGGTAGGCCTTCGGACCCTTGTTTTATGCCTTCCTAAGGGTCTGGAGGCCTTGCCCGAGCTTCTGGGAGGTTGAAAATGGCCTCCCCCAGGCTCTGGAGGCCAACTGGAGACCGGAAACCAGCCCATTTTGCAACTTCCGGTTTATCCACGAGGGCTGTTTTTTTCCCCCTCCCAGAGCCTCCGCGCAGCCCCTGCACTTACCTGCATGGAAAATGGGCTGTGTGGAGACTCCTGGGAGGGATGGGGCAGGGCGGGTGTGGCCAGCCGGTTGGCTGAAATACTGGTTCAGCGAACCAGACGGAAACTTAACACCCAGTTCACTCAAACAGGTCCGAACTGGTCGAATTCCCACCCCCTGCATTGCATTCAATCATAGCTCAGCCGAACAGGGTTTGGTTTGCATGAGAGGGTTTGGGTTAGGGTTAGGGTGATTATTTCAATCCTGTGACCGTATTGCAACGGTCGTTAAGCGTGAAAAATGTCATTCAGTTGCTTTCTTTAGTGCCGCTGGAACTTTTGAACCGTCCTTAAAATGAAGAGAGATGCAAACTCCCCTTTTCCCACAGCCTCACTGGTTCCAAAATCAGAGGCAACACTTCCACTCTCAAAAAAAATAATAAAAGAAATTATGAACTAACAACCATTAGCTGTTTCCAAGGATATTTTTTTAAAAAAAAACCAACCCCAAACCAACATCATTTGTCAAGCTACGGTTTGATGCCGGTTACGGATAATATTTTAACAGAATTATTTCCAACGAACATTCAGAACCACAGTCCAGATGCAGGCAGGGTTACTGGGTTGTTTTTTTTCCCCAAAAGGCAACTAGTGTTCGCAGCAATAAAGGTAGTCCTCGACTTACGACACAGGAACCTGAAAATTCTGTTGCTAAGCGAGATGCTTAAATGAGTTTTGCCCCATTTCACGGCCCTGCCTTGCCTCGTTGGTTAAGGGAATCACCGCAGTTGTATTAAGTTAGTGACCCAGTCGTTAAGTGAATCAAAGCTTCCCTGTTGACTTTGCTATGTCAGAAGGTCACAAAAGGGGATCGCTTGACCTCCCCAGGATACTGTGACCGTCATAAATGTGAGTCAGTAAACAATGGTCTGAATTTTGATGACATACATGATCCTGGGGAGGCTGCAATGGTCATAACTTTGAAAAACAGTCATAAGTCACTTTTTTCAGTGCTATCATTTTGAACAGTCACTAAATGAACTGTTGTAAGTTGAGGACTACCTGCACTTCATGGTTTGCGGAGATCCTTAGACTTACAAAAGCTCGCTTAGTGACTGACGTTACCAAGGGACTCAGGACCATTCCTCGCACTTATGACCGTTGCAGCTTTTCCAGGGTCACGTGATGAAAATTCCGATGCTTGGCAACTGACTTGTACTTATGACAGTTGCAGTGCCCCAGTGTCACCTGATCCTTTTGCGATGAAGCAAAATCAAGGGGGAAGTTGGATTCACTTAACAACCAGGTTACTAAACGTTGCACTGATTCACTTAACCAATGTAGCAAGAAAAGTCGTAACCTAACTCACTTCACTATTTTCTCACTTTGCAACCGGAAAATTTGGGCTCCGTTGTAGTCGTAAGTCAAGGACTTCCTGTATTGGGGATTTTGCTCATGCATGAGACACACCAGCTGAGTGGTGTGGTGGCCTAGAGGTGGAGCTCTTGCCTCACCATCAGGAGGCTGTGGGTTCAATCCTAGGTAGAGGCAGATATTTCTCTCTCTGGGCGCAATATTTCTCCTGAACAAAACTCCACACTGGTGACAGGAAGGGCATCCGGCCAGTAATCACTCTGCTAGCTCCATTCAGTTGCCCAGACTCCACCCAAGGGATTATGGAGTCGATAAAATTAGATGATTGAATTTTAAAAAGGCAGATAGTTCTCTCTCTGGGCACACTGAGAATACATCTGCTGAACAAAACTCCACACTGGTGACAGAAAAAGCATCCGGCCAGTAAAACATTCCCGCTAGCTCCAATCAGTTGCCCAGACTCCAACACACACCCCCAAAGGAATTATGGGATTGTTAAAAGATGTGAGACACATCAACTAGGACATGGCCTTTCTTGGGAATGGCTATGGACAAGACTATTTCGAGAGAATATTCCCCCCGTCAGCATTTCAAAATTTTATTTTTTAAAAAATGGACTGGAAACCAGAACTTCAAAGGTCAGTTGGTTGGAAGAGAAGGAACATTTAATTGCTGATATACAGCTGCAGCGCTGTGTGGGGTCCCCCCCCCCCAAAAAAACCACACTGTTTACACACACTAACACACTTGCAGCCAGAAGGGGGAAAATAGCAGGTTTTCCCAATTTTTTTCCCAATACAGGTAGTCCTCGAGTTACGGCCACAATTTATGTTGCTAAAGTGAGACAAAGTAGGTTTTGCCCCATTTTATGACTTTTCTGGCTGTTAAGTGTATCACTGCAGCCGTTAGTCCACATGGCCATTAAGTGTATCTCCATTGACTTTGCTTATCGCAAAAGGGGAATCCCGTGAGCCCCCCAGGAATGCCGCAACCGTCATAAATGTGAATCCGTTGCCGAGCATCTGAATTTTGATCGCAGGATCGTGGGAAATGCTGCAACAGTTGTGTGAATAACGGCCGTTAAGTCCCTTTTTTCCGTGCCTATCGTAACTTTTGAATGGTCCCTAAACGGAACTGTTGTCCGCCAAGGTCTACCTGTATCCCATTCTGGTTTGAGATATATTCTATATATCTGTAATGGCAAACCTGTGGCATGCAGCCATTTGTGCCAGCATGCGACCTGCAGGCAAACGTACCTCACTGCGCATGTGCGCGCCTCACCGCTGATTTTCAGCCAGTTTGAGGCCTTTTTCCTCAGGCCAAAGGCTCGAGGAAGGCTTCTGCAAGCTTTGCAGGCCGAAAACTAGGCCCGTTTCGTCACTTCCGATATTTTCCGAAAAAACAGGAAGTGACAAAACGGGCCTAGTTTTCGGCCTACAAAGCTTGCAGAAGCCTGCAGAAGCCTTCCTCAAGCTTTTGGGAGGCCGGAAAAGGCCTCAAACCGGCTGTGAGGTGCAATGCAGGTAAGGGGGCGGCAGCAGTGGTGGTTGGTGGGTGGGTGGTTGGATTGCATGCGCATGCGTAGGGGGTGCAGGGGACATCGCCTTCTGGGTGCTGGTCCATGAGCGTGACCATACAAGTGTGTGCACAATTTTTGGCACAGGAGCCCAAAAAAGTTAGCCACCACCGCTATATATCTTATATTTCAGTCAATTCTTTCTTGTGTGGGAGTTTGATAGGAATGACAACTGATCTTTCCGGGCCAGTCAGCAGCATATCGACAAAAGTCAGTATTTGGGGTATTTGGGTAGCAAAAGGACAATTAAGGACCCCTTTTTACACAACCACAAGGGGCAAAACCCCCATTGTCACCTGCTGGAAAAGGAACACACACACACACACACATACAAAAACGGTGCAGGGTTTTCCCTAATTTCCTGCCAAAAAGCAGGAAAATGGCCTGACCGGATTCCAGAGGGAGCCCAAGGCTGTTCTGCAGTATGTTGATACCACGTCTTACCGAAGGGGAAATCGAGGCCTGTGACCGGGTCCTCGCCTTTACAACGCTAACAAGCAGGTGACCAAAAAAAAAAAACCAGTACAGGTAGTCCTCAACTTATCACTGCAATCGAGCCCAACATTCCTGTTGGCTAAGTGAGACATTCGATGAATGAGTTTTCCCCCATTTTACGAGCTTCCTTGCGAAGGTCGTTCGGCAAGTCTGCACGTCGTTAAGCGAATGCGGCCTCCCCGAGGGAATTTTTGCTTGTCAGAATGTCACCAAAAATATATATATATGGGATGCCGTAACCGTCCTAAATAGGAATCAATTGCCCAGCTGCAACGGTGGTTAAGCGTGAAAAACAGTAAAGTTCCTTTTTTTTACGGCAACTTCCAACGGTCGCTAAATGGAATGGTTGTAAGTCGAGGACTACCTGTACAAATCATCTCAGCCACAGCAGCCTTTTTTTCCACTCATGATGTATTTATAGGTCTCCATAAATTAAATTAAAAAAAAAAAAAAAGCACAGAGTTTTAATAAATTCTCAAATCAAAATAGAAAATATATATATATATAACGGAGGGAGGGGAAAAGGCATCCGAAGATTCTTGGCGAGTAAGGCTGGAGAAGCGGGGATCTTTTTGGTGTCGGCCCGCTCCTCCGTGGCGTTCTCGGCGGGACCATAAATAAAAGAGGACGTGAGAACGACGGGGCGGGAGGGGGAGGGCAGAGGCGGCGACGGGGAGGGGGGGCGAGGATGATTCGTGTTCCAATTAGCGCGCCGGCCTGCGGGACGGGTCTCTTTTTTTGTTTGTTTGTTTGTTTCATTTCAAGCGTTCGACGAGTCCCTGCGTCAGTCCCAGGTGCAAAAGCTGCGATCGGCTGAGGTTGGCCAGGTGAGGGAAGAAAGCCAGCAGCTTCTCCCAACAGAGTTCGAGCAGGCTGGGCACCACGAGCCACATCTTGAAGAGAGAGCCAGTCCGTCTGTTCCGGTGGATGTCCACCACGCCTCCGTGGACGTACATGCAGCCTGCCTGCAGGAGCCAGGAGGAGGAGAGAGAAACAACAGGTGCTGCCATTGCCTCGTGGGAAGCGGCTCAGCCCCCGGCCTGACCTTTCCTGGCAGCCTGGAGGTTCACGGCTGTCTCGTTGGCCGGGTTATCTGAAGGGACATCTACCTGACCCACCAGAATGGGGAGGCAGGGGGTGTGTGTGACTGGTCCCCTCTGTGGAGGAGGGTCATTTGGTGGGATCGAGAAGAGGGGGGCCTTTCTTTGGTGGCTCCCTCCCTCCCGCCGACCATCATCCCTGCGGGGATAAGCTCAGCTCCCACTTTTAATAGTTTTCCTGTCGGCCCCTCCATCAGCCAAATCAGGAGGAGGAGGAGGAGGAGGAGGAGGAGGAGGAGGAGGCACCGTGGGAGTCTGGGTCAGCATCCTGAGAGCTCCAAGGGGGAAGAGGAAATGGAGCTGGCAGAGAGAGAGAGAGAGAGGCGGAGCCTGAGCCGTCCGTCAGCCACTCCGATGGAGAGTCAACAGCCCCCCAGGTCTGGAGGTGGCTGAGGAGGAAGAGGAGGAACAGCCGGGTACAGTGCCTGACTTGTGGATGTGCAGAAGGCAGAGAGGAGAGGAGAGCAGTGGAAATCTATGGGCCGGCCCTCGGGACGGAAGAGCCACAGCCGCTAGCAAAGCCCCCATCCTAGCTCTGGGGATAAGAGGCGGGGGGGCGGGCGGAGATGAATAGGGGTGACAGACAACTATTCGTCTCCTGGACAGACGGACTTGTTAGCCTGCGTTGAGAGAGAAACTTTGTGCCGGGGCTGCCGGCACTCTTAATTAAAGGAATCTTTGAGTCCAAGTCAGAGGGTTTGTTGTGTTTGGGGAGCTGGCTCAGAATATTTCCAAAAACGCCCTACAGATCTGGTATGGCCAGAGGGGCTGGAGACCCCCAGGGGGATAGGGAGCCCATCATGGGGGTCAGTTGGATTGCGGTCACCGGGGGGTGGGGGTGAGGGGGGCAACCTCTTACCGGAGTCACAGCAGCACAGTGGAAATAAACAGGCTCGGGCATCACCGCGGGGAGCTTCACCCACTGGAACGTCTGCAGGTTGAGTTTCCAGATATCGCCTAAAATCACCTCTCCGTTGTATCCGCCGCAGACAAAGACATCTGAGACAAGACGGAAGGAATTTCCCCACCCCCCTCATCAATATATATGAATTAGGGAATGAGAAAGGAGTTTTCTGAAGGGTTTCTTTCATCGGGAAGAGGGGTTTCCCCAACTCTTGCGAGTTAAATTCCCCAGTCAGCATGCAATTTTAGCCCTGCCTTACGCATGAAAGCCAGCTGGGTGTCTTTGGGCCAATCACCAGGAGACAGGGAGTTCTAGTCCCGCCTTAGGAATGAAAGCCATCCGGGTGTCTTTGGGCCAATCAGCAAGAGACGGTGAGTTCTAGTCCCGCCTTAGGAATGAAAGCCATCTGGGTGGCTTTGGGCCAATCACCAGGAGACGGGGAGTTCTAGTCCCGCCTTAGGAATGAAAGCCAGCTGGGTGGCTTTGGGCCAATCACCAGGAGTCGGTGAGTTCTAGTCCCGCCTTAGGAATGAAAGCCATCCGGGTGGCTTTGGGCCAATCACCAGGAGACGGGGAGTTCTAGTCCCAACTTAGCCACAAAGTTGGCTGGGTAACTTTAAGCCAGTCCCTCTCTTTCAGCCCAACCCCAACTCACACGTCTGGTTTTGTGTGTGTGTGTGTGTGGAAAAGAGAGGGAAGGCGGATTAAACACATTTGTCGCCTTGAGTTATTTATTTAAAATAAATAAAAATAAACACGGGGTAAATAAATAATGAAAAACACAGAATGTTAACCTGTCAGAATCCCACCCATCCAAACAGGAAATTGTGTGGTTGTACCAATTCCAAAGTTAAGCTATTTCTTACCATTTTTTATCTGTACACAGCTATGACATCTGCGAGCTGCAGGATAATCTGTGGGTCAAAAGGCTGGATGTGAGTTATTTAGTCTGTAAGATGCTTTTTTGGGGGGTTAGTGATCAGCCCCCATCTGAAGCATCTGCAAAACTGTACAAGAAGGGTATCCAACCAGGGCAATTTTAATACTTATGGACTTCAATTCCCACAATTCCAGTATGGCTGGCAGCCAGTATGGCTGGCTGGTGACCTCTAGGAATTGGAACTCCACGGGTCTTAAGGCTGCCAAGGTTGGATTCCCCTCTTGTACAGTTTTACACTTTTCTTAGACCTCTGCTCTAGAATATCAGCTACTTTCCCTAAGTGGAAAGGTGAAGTGCTACGACAGAAAAGTTCCTATTTATCTAAAACACGATTTTTTAAAAAAGCCTTATGGTTTATCTGGGAAACTTAACCGATGCAGACAGCAAGAAGGCAAAAATTGGGATACAGAGCACAGACATGAGCTTGAAATATATGCAGAAATTACTCCAAATTAATGGCTAACCTAAATAAAGTCTATTTATGCAGCGGATATTATTTTGGAAAGAGGGATAAGATTCTTAAGTATCAAATTATTAGAGAACAAAGTAATTGAAATAATTCATTTTTAATTCTGAATTGATAATTGGAAAAAAAAAATCAAATTTTCACAAGAGGCTAGATCTACATTTTTAATAAAGCATTTTAGAACGATGTTAGAAAACATTCTTTTTTTTTTTTAATAAAGTGTTGTTTTATAATACAATAGAATGATAAGGCCAAAAGAGTTTGTTGTAGGTCCAGCTATTTTGCATAAGTCATTTTCACAAATAAGATAAATTCATGAGTTCAGTTTCAATTTCTGATGGCTGCATGAATAGAATATTTATAGCCTTGGGTTGAACTGTGCGGTCCCTTGGTGTTCTCTGAGCTTGGTGGTTTTCTTGCAGACGTTTCACGACCCAACAAGGTAACATCATCAGTGCTTAGAAGAGAGTAAGATTTCCAGAAAGGAGGAGGAGGAGAACTGATGTTTCGTGACCCAACTAGGTAACATCATCAATGGTACAAGGGGTGTTTGCTCTCTGTTTTTGTAGTCACTTGCATATAGAAAGCAAACCCCACTCCTCCCGTCTAGCACTGATGATGTTACCTAATTGGGTCACGAAACACCTGCAAGGAAGCCAACCAAGCTCAGAGAGCACCCAGGACCCCACAGCGACACGAATAAATGAAGGTTTTTGAAAACAAAATTAGAAGCGTCGGTGGTTGCGAATGAGGCCTCTGCGGCATGATTTACGAGCCTTTCAACACATACTCGTCCTCCTTTGGGCTTCCATCCCTACCAACAAACACAGATTGCAACACTCCCTACCTTTCTTCTTATGAGGCTTCGTGGCGATTTCTTCCCAGGTGTTGGTTTCCAGATTGTAGGCGTGAATCTTAAGCAAGAGGAGGGGGAAAAAAGCTCAAGTTACCATTTTTATAGAAAGCCAAGGCGGTCACGAAGCCCCGGTGAAGGCTCAGCCCTCAGCGCAAGCTGCCTCTTCTCTGACAGATGTCAAAGGTTTCAGGATCCAATCTGGGCAGATGGGGACAATTCGCCTCAGCCAATTCGCCCTGGGACAACTCTGAACAATTCTGCTGAATTGTTTAAAATGGGAGTGGTGTAGTAGCCTGGAGGTGGTGCTCTCGCCTCCCAATCAGGAGGCTGTGAGTTCAATCCTAGGCAGAGGCAGATTATTTCTCTCTCTCTGGGCACAATGAGAATGTATCTGCCGGGGGGAAAAACTCCGCATTGGCGGCAAGAAGGGCATCCGGCCAGTAAACATTCAGTTCCATTCAGCTGCCCGGACTCCAGCCTGATGCGAAAGTTTATGGGTGACGTTAAACAATAAACTTGATTATTTCAAATAAGTGAAACATTATTTTAAGTTTTTCCCTTTCGCGTTTCATTCTGTCCCTCCTTTCTCACCCTTTAATGATTCGATTCCACCGTTTCTTTGATATTGGGGTAACTCTTGTCCCGCAGTGAGTTGGCCTTGACGAATTACCGTAGACCCCAATCTGGGCGGGCAACCAGTATCGCAGGTTTCGTCTTCCGAATTTTCGGACTCGTGCTGGGGGCCAACTTCAGGGAACTTCTGCCTAGTGTTGTGTGTGTTGTTGAGTGTGTGGTGTTTATATACGGCCTGTTGCATGTGGCTTTTTAAGAGGCTGCTTGGGGTGTCATGCTGACGGACGGCTTTGAAGCCCGTTGGGTTGTCGTTTGCATCGGGCTGCCCAGCACCATCAGTCAAAGGAAGGTGTCCCAGGTGCTTTGAACACCTGTTTTGTCTCGACCACCAAGCTTGGTTTTTTTTTTTCTTCCCCCGTTAGCCTTCTTTCGGTCTACACGAACCCCTCTGACGGGGATCCTCTATTTACGACCGTTTGTTTAATGACCGTTCGAAGTTACGACGGCAGTGGAAAAACCTGATGTCAACTCATAAAACATCCCTAGGCCTGTTTTAGTAGTTGCCATAAAATGGGGTGGGGGGGAAGGGAATCTGGAAGAGCCGTGCAGCAGTTTGGAAGCAAAGGTACATTCCAACTCTTATCTTTAAAAGATTATAGCTAAACAACCGGAGCTTTTGTCCGGGAATGTCTTTAATTGGAGAACATGAGGACACCCAGCCCGTAATTGGAGAACCTGATTGATGACACCCACGAAGGGGCTCAATTGGAGAATCTGATTGATGACACACCCAGGGGGGAGGGAGGAGACAGGGTCACAGGGGACTGTAAATGACGTAGGCCAGAGTTGGCTTCATACAGGGCAGGGCCGGTATGTCGCCTCTAATAAATCCTTTGAAGCTTTTTGAAGTTTGGCTCGAGGATCATGATTTGATTAGGGAGATGGCTGGAATCCTGACACTTGACTTAGGACCACTTTTCACACTTTACCAACATCCCCATGGTCAGGTGATCAAAATTCAGACCCTTAGCAACTGATTCGTATTTATGACGCTGGCGGTGGTTTTTTTTTGGGGGGGGGGGGGGGCTCTAGAAACCCAAACAAATAAATAAATATCAATAAAAGGCCTTAAAACAGGTCACCTTATCCAAGGAGTAAGCCGTCCAAGAGGTCCCGCCTCCCAAGATGTAAATTCTCTGCCCGTCGTGCGCGATTTCGTGCCTGTATCTGAAAGGACAGGGCCGGAGGTCATATTTAAAATTGTATAATATTAAAATTTTATAACGTTAAATAGATTTAATAAAGGAGAATATGTATAGCTCAGGATTGGCAGGTGGTGCCAGCTGTCCCCTTAACATTCGCTTGGTGCTTCGCTACCACGCAGTGACCGTCTGCCATGAACTCTGGGGAAGGTGTATGGGAAGAGGGGAAACGCTTGTGGGGGAAGCGAAAGTAACGTCATCTCCCCGAGATGCTGCCTCAAGGTCACCCAGTTGGGAGAGGAAAGGAGCTGCGTACCAACCTACATTTGAAGTGTCCGTCTTGAAAATGTCTTGCTTGAACCTGATTGGCCATTATGTGTGTTGTGGGGGGGGTGGATGTCAGCGATGGGAGGTAGATAAGGGAGGGAAAAGTTGAGCTTAGGGATTTTGTCTGGTGATGCGTAGTTATGGGTGTGCTGTCAACTCATAAAACATTTTGTATACTTGTTTTATAGTTGACAACAGAAAGAAGGGGACACGGGTTTCAAAGAGCAGGCGGCAGTGTGGAATCGAAAGTACATTCCATACATATTTTCTTCAAAGACTGATTAGATGACCGAAGCTTCTGCTGTGCAAAAATCTAATTGGAGAGCATGATTGATGACTCTTGACTATGGATGTTTTTCGTTGGATGATACACCCAGAGAGGTGGGGGGGAAAAGCAGGATCAAGGGTGACTAGAATGTTAACTTCAAATAAATCCTCTTTAGTTTTGGGAGTGTGGCTCAAGGCTCATGATTTAATTGGAGTAACTGCCGGAACCCTGACACATGCGTTACACCAGGACACTTGATTTCTAATAAAATTATACCTTTCTCAACAAATGGAGCCAAGGATCGCTTCTATTTAGAGGTTTAAGTGCTGGCCAGGTCTGACAGGAGGAGTCCTTAGTGCTCTCATTAAATAGATTTGTATCGATCCTAAATAGAATCAACTCAAGACTATTCTTTGGAGGGGCAGACCCTGAAGCTGAAGCTAAGGGGAAGTGAAGACCCCTTGGAGAAGACCCTGATGTTGGGATAGGTGGGAAGTAGAAAGAGAAGAGGATAGCAGAAGTGGGTAAGATAGTGTCATCGACACAACGAACATGAATTTGGGGGAAAAAAACTCCAGGGGACAGTGGAGGATGAGGGGCCTGATATGCCATGGTCCCTGGAGTTGCAAAGAGTCAGACACAACTTAGCAATAGCTTATTATGCAGCTTCACCGTGCTCTGCAATCCTCTCTAAGCGGTTTACAAAGTCAGTGTCTTGCCCTCAATAATCTGGGCCCTCATTTTAAGGATGGAAGGCTGAGTCACCCTTGAGCCGGTCAGGATCTAACTCCTGGCAATGGGCAGAGTCAGCCTGCAATACAGGTAAGTCCTCGATTTACAACAGTTCATTTAAGGACCACTCGGTTACAACGGTCCTGAAAAAAGTAACTGACTTGTGACCTTCTGTCGAGCAAAGTCAATGGGAAGCCAGATTCACTTAACGACCGTATTACTAACTGAACAAGTGCACCGATTCACTTGAAACAACTGTGACAAGAACAGTTGTAAAACGGGGCCGAATCCACTTAACAAATAGTTCACTTTTAGTCAACAGAAATTTGGGGCTCCATTGGGGTCGTAAGTTGAGGACTACCTGCGCTGCGTTCTTAACACCACAACACGCCAGCTCTCGCTTAGCAACGGAACAACATCCTTGTTTTGAACGGCACTGTAAGCCATACATGGTCCCTCGATAGTGAGATTGCAGACGTACAAATGTCATAAATAAAATGGACAAATGAATAGCATTGCTTGTGGTTTTGTTGAAAATATATCACTCCTTCAGCAGTTCACGATGAGGCGTTTTTTAAAGAAGGGCTGCCATGTTGGATCTCCCAAGGAGCCCCCAGAGCATGGACTTTGGCTGACCTTTCCTCCGGCATGTCACAGTGCAGGCTGTTTGGCTTGAGCTGCGTCCATTCCCTGGTGTTGAGGTCCAGCTTATGCAAGTCGGTGCTGTAGATATAGCCAGTCGTTCCTCCAAATACGTACAAGGACCCGTTGATGATGGCCATAGCCTGACAGGGAGAAGAGAAAAGGCCACATGAAAATATGTCAGTTAGAATTCTTTTATTGGCCAACTGTGATTGGAGACGCAAGGAATTTGTCTTGGTGCAAATGCTCTCAGTGCACATAAAAGAAAAGAGACATTGTCAAGAGTCAAGAACCATCATGTACAACACTTAATAATAGTCATAGGGTACAATTAGAGTAGAGTAGAGTAGAGTAGAGTAGAGTAGAGTAGAGTAGAGTAGAATTCTTTATTGGCCAAGTGTGATTGGAGACACAAGGAATTTGTCTTGGTGTAAATGCTCTCAGTGTACATAAAAGAAAAAATGGATGGATTTAGGATGATGTAATGAATGTTATAATATAAATTAATTTAAAATTTTGAATATCTCATATAAAATGATGGAATAATAGTTATAGTTAAATAAATAATTAACGATAATAATGTATACATATATACTAGATTGATAATATGAGAATTTATACAAACTGTGAGGACTATGGAGAGGATGCACAAAAGATTTGTAACCAATCAACACACTGTATGTATGTAATTGGAAGATTGTTTTATGTTTTGTTTGTGTATGTTTGTCTAAAATAAAAATTCATTAAAAAAGAAAAGAAAAAATACATTCATCAAGAATCATAAGGTACAACACTTAATGATAGTCATAGGGTACAATCAGCAATCAAATCATACTAGGAAACAGTCAATATAAATCGTGAGGATACAAGTGACAAAGTTACAGTCCTACAGTCACAAGTGGGAGGGGATGGACGATAAGGAGTGATGAGAAGATGAATAGTCATAGTAGTGCAGACTTTGTAAATAGTTGGACGGTGTTGAGGGAATTATTTGTTTAGCAGAGTGATGGCGTTGGGGAAAAACCTGTCCTTGTGTCTAGTTGTTCTGGTGTGCAGGAACATCTATCTAGAACATCTATCTAGAAAACCATAGCCTTGACTATACGTACTTTTGTTGGGAGGAGGATGTCTCTGCTTTTTAGTATGCTGTCTAGATTTACATCTAGATATGTCCCTTTGCCACAACAAGGCAGTAACCCATGAAGGGGCCCACCGCCTGTTCTGACCCAGGCTTTGTAAATCATAATTAAACTTGCGTTAAAAGCAAAACCTATTTGATTGCAACGCTGGGTATTGCTTTCATTTCCAGCCAGAGCTAATCTTAAACAGTTCCCCAAGATAAGCACACGCCTTTCAGTGCTGTGGAATGCTGCCCAAAACAGAAGTCTCCAATTAACTGTAAAAGAAACCAACCGAAGTACAAGAAAAAAACCAACTGAACTACAAAGAGTTTCATCAGTTTCTGAACTGATCGAACTACTTTGCTTCCTGCAAAGGTTTCGTCATTGAGGTCTGACTTTTATCCCTTATGGGAGGGGCAATCACCTCCCAGCCTTACTCCCGAGTCGCCCCTTTTGTCTCAGCTGCTCTTGCCTTCCAGCAGCTCTGTGCACACACGCACTGGGAACAGGCTCCCCTGGGTCCTCTTCCTCACTGCTGCCAGACTCCAAAGGCTCCAGAGGCAGCACCCCACTCCCAGATGGTCCTGGCCCCCTCTCTGCATCGGACGCAGGACCCTCGTCCGAGTCCTCTCCAGACTCCTGAACTGGTCCCCTTTCTTCCCCACTGTCCGATTCTGCTGCCAACTGCACCGGCTGCCGGCGAACCACAATACTGCCTTAAGAAAGTTCAAAGCATTCTCAAAGATCCATCTCATCCTGGGCACCCCTTTTTTTTTTTGAACTATTACCATCTGGCAGACGGTACAGGAGAATAATAAAAACAAGGACAAACAGGCTGAAAAACAGCTTCTACCCCAGGGCAGGAGCTCTGTTGAATTCTCCTGTAGAGTGCAATATTAATGCAAAATCAATAGTTTTCAATTCAATTGTATAGAATGTGAAGGATGTGTGTTTGTGTTTTATTCGTACAGTCATAATGTGCCCTGAAGATGGCATTTCACTTCGTCATACGGGGCGCAAGGACGATAAAAGCACACTAAACTTTAGGGGAAGGTGCAGCGGTTTTCTTGAGCCAGCCCATGGCTGCCTTTTACCTGCCCGTAGATGCGGTTCGGCTTCTTCCCCCGGCAATTGAAGAGGGCCCACCGCTTATACCTCACGTTGCAGACGTGAACGTCGTTGCCGTTGCTCTCTCCAAAGGGGATGCCGGTGCCGCCAAAGACCAAGAGGTTATTGCCGTGCAGCACGACTGCGGAAAGACAACACAGAACCGGGGGGGTCCGGTGAACGAGCGGGGCAAAATGGATCCACGGCAAACATAGGCCGAGCTGCAAAAAGCAGGGTTAGTCCTCGGCTTACGAGCCCCAACTGGGCCAAACATTTCCATTGCTAAGCGAAACACGGGCGGAGTGCCCCACTTGAAGACCATTCTTGCCATGGCTGTTAAACGAATCTGGCTTCCCCCTTGACTTTGCTTGCCGGAAGGCGGCAAAAGGAGGATCCCTTCTCTTCTTGATTATTGCAATGCGCTCTACGTGGGGCTGCCCTTGAAGAGCATCCGGAAGCTCCAGGGGGTACAAATGCAGCAGCCCGCATGGTTTTGTGCAGACCACGGTGTACACATGTGTCACCTCTCCTGGGGGAACTGCATTGGTTGCCGATTCGCTTCCGGGGGCAATTCAAGGTGCTGGTTGTCCCCTTTGAAGCCCTCCATGGCTTGGGCTTCAGGTGATCTGAAGGACAACTGTCTCTTGCCGGTCACATCTACCCGACCCATCAGAGCAGGGAGGCAAGGAGTGCTGTGGGTCCCACCCCTGAGGGAGATACACCTGGTGGGACCCAGAGGAAGGGCCTTCTCCGTGGTGGCTCCCTCTCTCTGGAACACCCCCCCCCCAGAGATTAGACTGGCCCCCACTCTGATTCTCTTATGAAAGGCCCTGAGGAAGACCTGGTTCTGTCAGCGGGCCTGGGGAACCCAGAGCAGGATGGAGCCCATCAAATGGCTCAGGAGATCTGCTGTCGGCGGAGGTGAGACTTGGGGGAGGGGGGGTATTATTTATTTTCCAGATTTCGTTCTATTGTACTTTATTAATTTATTTGCTTTGATTCTTTTTTCTTAGTTTTTAATTTTTAATTTTTTTGTTTTCAATATGGCTTTACGTTCTGTAAGCCGCCTTGAATCACCATGGCTGAGTAGGCGGCAAATTAAATTAATTAAATTAAATAAGATAATTAACTTAAATTAACTTAAATTAAAAATAAATTTATAATAAAATAAAATAAATAGCGTGACCCCAGAGCACTGCAGCTGCCATAAATATGAGTCAGTTGCCAAGTGCCTGAATTTTGATCACGTGACCCTGAGGGTGCTACAATTGTCATAAATGTGAAAAACAGTCCTAAGTCCCTTTTTTTCAGTGCAGCTGCGAACAGCCACCAAACGAATTGTTGTAAGTCAAGGACTACCTGTAATCATGCATAGAGAAGTTGTAACAACAAGCCTCGCATAGCAACGTGTTATTCTAATATGCTTTTGGCACAGTGAAACATGCTGGGTGTTTATGTTTAATTTAACTAACTTATTCAATTCCGGCACCAGCCGTCGCCAAATTGTACGCTGTGGGCAGCCTACAATAAAACCAAACACAGCGGGAAAACACAACGTAATGAAATTATTTTAAAAGGGTAAGAAAAGAGGAACACAAGAACGAAACAAGCAAGAATCACTGGCTCACTCCGTTCTTGTGTTTCCTTTCTTATGTCAACTCATAAACCATTCCTAGGCCTGTTCTAGTAACGGCCATAAAAAACAAAGAGAGTGGGAGACGAAGGAAATCTGAAAGATTTAGTACCGCAGTTTGGAAGCGGAAGTACATTCCAACTCTTTATCTTTAAAAGTTTGTAACTAAACTACCGGAGCTTTTGCCCGTGAATGTATTTAATTGGAGAATCTGATTGATGGCACACCCAGGCAGGAGGGTGGGGGGGAAACTGGGTCACAGGGGACTGTAAATGACGTAGGCCAGGATTGGCTTCATAAAGGGGAATGCCAGTATGTCGCCTCTAATGAATCCTTTGGAGTTTTTTGAAGTTTGGCTCGAGAATCATGATTTAATTGGGCAATTGCTGGAATCCTGACATCTTAATTTTTTAAGCTAATTCCATTGTGTTGTGCTTTCCCGTTGCGTTTGGCCTTATCCTTCCCCTTTTAAAATAATGTTAAGGTCAATTTTGAGCTATCCATCTTTCAACTGCTCGCACTTACGCGACATGGATGCCAACTCGCGAGGCATGTAGCCCTCAGTGCCCATCTGATGCCAGGTGCCAGTAGCAAAGTTGTATCGCCAGAGCTCCCGGAACAGCGGGTAATCTTCGTTCTCCGGCCCTCCAGATTCATCGTAGTCAGGATTGTACCCTCCAAAGACGTAGAGGTTGGCATTGTCTGCCACGCAGCGGTGGCCGCTTCGGGCTGGCGGCACTCGGTGGCCTAAAGCGGAATAAAGACCTTCTTGTCATTCAGAGAAGAGACAAAGTCACTGGGGCAAAACTGGGGGAATGCCGAAAATGGGGCGCTAAGGCTGTGGGGCAAACGTAACAATGCATAACACCTCAGCGTCCTCCAACAAAGTACACGCGAGAGCCAGTTTAGTGTAGTGGTTAAAGTGCTGGCCTAGAGACTGGGAGTTCTAGTCCTGCCTTAGTCATGAAAGCCAGCTGGGGGACTTTGGGCTAATCACCAGGAGACGGTGAGCTCTAGTTGCACCTTAGCCAAGAAAGCTAGCTGGATGACTATTTGGGGCCAATCACCAGGACACTGGGAGTTCTAGTCCCATCTTAGCCATGAAAGCTGACTGGGTGACTTTGGGCCAGTCACTAGAAGATGTTGAGTTCTAGTGGGC